CTCCGTTCCACCTTGTGATGTCATGTACTGGTAGTTTTTAAGTTAACAGCTACCATTTACTTTTAGTTCAATAGAGATCTGCAATTCTAGGACTGAAACGATCCAAATGATTCTAGTGAAAGTATATGAAGATTCTTCCTGTATTACCGCATGACATCACAAGGTGGAACAGAGTGTTTTCCATTTGAGAGAAGAACTCAGTATAATTATGCAGGATTTACGTGTTTAACATGTGTGAATGAAACAAAACACAACTCCAAGTCTGTTTTTGACAAGGAAATGACATAATAACACAGGTCAAAAAATTGTGTAATATGGGCCCTTTAATAATACATTTCTAGTCACTTAGAAATGCATTTGTAGAAAATTTGTAGAAAATATTTAACTAATACCAGTATTTGCTGGAAAAAAAGAAACTGTGAGCTGACTTGCCTCTTTACTTTGCCTGTGCTGGTAGAAAAATAGGAGAAAAATACATAAACTCCATGGTAACAAACTGTTCTTAAAAAGCTGTTCCCCTACGAAAATAGTTTCAAGGCGCACTTAAAAAAATAAATAAATAATCATCTCTTAATTTAAACATAATTATAATAACAATATACCTATTTCTAGTGTGTACCATGGTATTACTATTAGGAAAACACTGCAAATCTAACAAAGGGTATTTGTTTTTGTAGATGAATACAGAGAGATGATTAAATTCTTGTTTTGGTAATACCGCAGCTCATCGGGAATTAGCAAACAAAGCCTTGAATGGAGAATCATTTGAGAGGAAAATTGAGATCTCCTGGATAATAGTTCCTTTGAAACATCTGCTCTTAGAAAAAAGCACAATTTTCTGCTTAATTAAGTCATTGTAGAAAATCTGTCAAACTCCCAAACTGTAAGTGCTTGGATTTGCACAGAGGAACATTGCACAATAAGAGTTTTATCTAATTTAACTAATATGTTTTCAGGGTATTCTGCATTCTGAAATATTAATCATACAGTAGAGAAGTGTATTTTTATGCTAAAATTTCAATTTTGGTCGAGGAGGTTAGATGATTTGTGTTGCCCTTAGCTACAAAATACAACATAAAAGCACCGTGTGTTTCAGAATGATGATTACAGATCAAAATGGCTTGAATGGTTACATGGAAAAAGCTTGGACAGTTGCCATAGCAATTAACAACTCAAAACAAAACAGTCTATTTTTTTTAATGGTCAACTGTCTTCACAATGACACCATATTCTGTTGTTTCCTCATCAAAAACACACCCGGAGTTGTGTTTTGTTTGATTCACATATGTTCAACACACAAACCCTCTGTTCCACCTTTTGCTAATACAGGAAGTGCTCTACTGTGTTTAAAAACTCTATACACTTTCACTAGAATAGTTTTTATAATTTCAGCTGTGAAATTGCCTGTTTCTACTGAACTGAAGGTAAAAGGAGTTGTCAACTTGAAAACTACCTCTTGATGACATCACAAGGTGGAACAAAGCAGAGATTAATACTCTGTTGAAGATTTACTTAGAGTTTGTATATGTACAAAATAATGATAACAATCCATGTATCATTCGTTCATTATTTATTTTTTAATTTTTTTAAATTAAACCAAAAATAAGAAAACAAAAGAACAATGTTCTTCATTATTTGTCTCCAAAAACAGACAAAAAAAGATAACGATTCCTGTTTCTTTGACTTAAACTGTGATGCCGGAATTTTACACCGCATACAGACTGAACCAGGATCGAACCAGGACTGAACCAGGACTACGCCAGGACTAAAGCAGGTCTAAAGCAGGACTGAGTGTCGGTACGGGCCTGGAGGTGCGCCCACGTAGACTGTCAGGTGATCAGGACTGAGACCAGGACTGAGACCGGTTTAGTCCTGATTCATTCCTGGTTTAGACCTGGTTTAGACCTGGTTTAGACCTGGTTTAGACCTGGTGTAGTCCTGTCTTAGTCCTGGGGTCAGTCCTGGTTCAGTCCATATATGGCGCAAAAGTCCGGCATCACAGTTTAAGTCACAGAAACTGGAAACGGCCGTTATCCATTTTTTCCATTATTCATTAAACACAAAATTGAAAACTGAAAAAAAAAAAAAAAAAGTCAAATCTTTTTCTCTGTGGAGATGTTATTATTTTGTCTGGAATGTTTCACAGTATTTCACAGTATTAAACCTTTGTATCTTTATGGATCAAACCCGACTAAGTTACAGGTCAGATCTGTGGAGCGACAACCCTGCTCACAGTCCCAGAGTGCCTGTTTTTTAAGGTATTTCTGAGCTATAAAACCACCTGTAGTTGAATAAATGTAAGGTGGAGGTGTTTAATGTCATACTGTGGAAGAAGCAGGTGACAGACCTTTAACACAGTGCATATTTGAAAACAGTATTAACATGATGCTAGCGTTTGAGTATTGCCGGACTGACATTTGTACTGATTGGGTTTAGCACTGGGATCACTTCTGTTGTCCACACAGCAGTGACTTCAGTAGCCCTGTCAACAGAACATGCTTTTAACATTGTCCGTGTCAAGGCTAATTTGTGGCATGGTTCAAGTGGCCCGTTCCAATGCAATTAGTTTATTTTCTTTGTGTAATGAGAGCATGCCCCCGCTGTCTGCCGTCAGGAGAAACAGCAGCACAGCTTTTCCGGGGCTACTATCTATTCATACCTGGGAAAGCTCACTATTGTGGTCTCATACAAACTGCTGTGTCCAAGTTTCAACATTTTTCCTTCAAAAGTATTGCTGATGTTGTTAAGACTGGTACTAGAAGTGGTAGTAGGAAAATCTCGTTTGATATCGGCTGCCAGGTAATTTCCAGACCCTATTAACTGCTGTATTTTATTTTATGTTTTGAGATATTTGGACCATTTTTCCTGAGCAATTGCGTGTAGAAACATTGATAAGTTGGTTCCTATCGTGCTGTAGCTCAGAGATGTAAAGATCTCTAGCTGTTTATGATTAAAATCACATTTTCAGTCGCTGGAAAGCTGTTTTCACTTAAAGGTTTTCTTGTCTACCACATATTAATATTGTATGTAACCTTCTCTGGTATTGATACTTTGCAGCTGGAGTCAACAACATTCCCTGGGGTGTGATGCTAACTGCAGGCACTGCTCTGTCTGAGGCTTTATTAGACTTAATCTGAGTAATCGGACCTCAAAGAACGGATTTAGCCAACATCTTTTTAGTTCGTCACTCTCACCTTGGAAAGCACTTTGGTGACCTTGAGTGTTGTAAACGGCTCTATAAATAAAGTTTGGTTGATTGATTGATTATTGTTGAAAATCAAACACCTAAACAGGACCATGAACACTTGTATTGATCACAGACTCCTGAAAATGTGTTTTTTAAATCCATTTTGTATTTTTTTGGGGGGTTTTCAGACCATCGTAGTACTTTTTTTGACAGTGTCCACATGTGTCACAGTGGTAACTCCTAAACATTACACCATTAGACATACATGCAGAGCACCCCCCAGCGTGAAATCACTGCAAAGGATCAAATAAACTTGTCTATCTGGATGGAGACAAGCAGATAGTGTCCAGAAAAGTTAAGTGGAATTAACAGACGAATGACTGATATTAATCTTGCTTACCTTACTCACATGATATGGTGATGTTTTCAATAAAAAGTGGTTTTCTTGTAAAATGTCTATCTGTATATCATCATTTTGGTTCCCTTTTTCAAGCCTTCAAACTCTGTATTTCTTTCAGTACTGCAAAAGTTCTTTCCAAGCTCAGTAGTTGTGGAAGGCTCTCTTGTTTTGGGGTCATTGTGTTGTGTCGAGGCCACATTCTGCTCCAGTGGTTTTGTCACAGCCACAGTAAGACATCAGTCCCAGTGGGGGTGAGGGGGGATGGGGGTTGATGGGTATTCTCCAGTACTATTAACTTTTAAACTGCACTTTTTCCTCTTATTGTATACATTTTCGGTATAGATCCTAAAATCACAGGGACGTTTCTATCTCCAAACAGTCTAAGGACATCCATAGGGCCTTATACCCTCTAGATAACCCTTGAAAGTTCAATAATTACACTAATATTTGCTTTAAAACTTGTTGGTTTGTTTTGAAATCAATTATATATATGATAATGCAAAATTAACGATATCTTAAATGTCCTATATTACACAAAATTAACTCTTGTGAGCTTTAAGTCATGTTAGAATGTTATTATGTCATCAAAAACAAACCCGGAGTTGTTTTTTGTTTCATTCACACGTTTGAGTGATCCTTTATTACTAGTTTGTCTTCATCTCCAAACAAAGCTCAAAATGTCGTGTAGTTTTCTATTTACCAGCTACCTTTCACCTTTTGTTAAGCAGAGACTGGAAATTCCAAGTCTGAAATCATCCAAATGATTCTAGTGAAGGTGTATGGAGTTTAGAAACGGAGTGGAGCACTTACTGTATTATTACTTGACATCACAAAGTGGAACAGAGCGTTTTCTGTTTGAGAATATTCAGGGTTTGTGTGTTAAACATGTGTGAATGAAAAAAACACAACTCCAAGTATGTTTATGATGATGAAACAATTTTATAGCATAGATCAGAAAACATGGGCCCATTAATGTTGGTGAATGGCTTTACTTTATGACCCCCAAGTATTAAAACTAAAATTATATTAAAAATCAATTGTATTAGGAAACTGTTACAATCTTAAGGCCACCACACACTACAGGAATGATTGATTGAATGATTTTGAAATGACAAAAAGCACAGACCACAAACACAAGGAGAATCTTACCACAGTCTACAAAGATATGAGCGCACCCTGCCGTCCTGTACACATTAAAACGACTCGCTTTGAGACTCTGAAGTGTTCAAAAGATCAGAGCACTGCACTAGACTTTAGATATAAGTCAAAACTCACTAATTGTGAGTGCCTTGAAGGTGGAAAAGCACTATATATAAAAATGTGACCAGTTATCATTTACCATTTTACCATTTTACAAAGCGATATACGCCCCTGTTCACTCACCCATACACCTCTGTGTGCTCCTCTGTGCAGGGACTCACAGGTTCTTGACGGAGGGAGAGCATCTGGAGATCACAGGCATCACCAAAGAGCAGTCAGGAGCATACGAGTGCATCGCCTCCAATGACATCTCCAACCCCGACATCCGGACAGTCCAAGTCACCGTCAACTGTAAGTACATACTCTGTGGGAGACTTGAGACTTCATTATTTCAAGAGCCAACAGCTGCAATTTTCAGTGTATCTGTGGAGATTTATTCGGACAGTGGAACCGCCCTCCTGACTGAATTATTTTCCAGGTCAATTCAGAACCCATTCAGTTGACTTAAAGTACATACATACAGTACATCTGGTCTAATCCAATGATATTGCTATGTCCATCCTGTTTACAAGTGCATCAAATCACTCACGTTCAGTTTTCCCCGGATTGTTATTCACAGGTAGAAATATGAAAGCTTGTTTTAATATAATAATGATAATAATGTTTATTTCAAGCTGATTATTCTATGGCAGAACAAACAGAAAGTGATAAAGACTGACAATATGGACAGGCTCAGTTCAAGATTCACTCATGTACAAATAAATGCATTATTTTTTAACTAAATGTCTTGGATATAATGGTCAATTTATGTATTTGTAAGATGGAGGCTTTAGTATTTAGTTTATTTAGTTTTATGTATTTTGCCTCTTCCTGCACCTACTTTTGTATCTAGTGTGCCCTTTTTATTGTTATAAGTTATATAAGTGCAAAATAAATCAAATAAAAAATGAAACATTGATGCTTGAAATAGAATTGCAAATAGTAAGATTTATTTTAACCCACACCAGTGTCAAAAAAACAATGCCCATGAATCATCTGCAAACTCGCTTTGAGCATTTTTGCAGGTGTGTTTTCCACATATAGACATTATTTTAAGTTTTAAAACATTAAATACCAAAGCATGGCTACTCAAAACCATGTTTAAAGGCCATTAACAATACAGAAATAATGCATAATATCTTTTAATCACTGCTCTTACCATACACTGGGTAGTAATTATTGAACCCACTATTTTTCTATATCTAAGCCTGTTAAAATACTGAGAATGATCACAATGTTGCTTTTTTTTTTAACTCCTAGACCCTCCATACATCTCCAAAGCTAGAGGTACGGGAACAGCGGTGGGACAAAAGGGCGTGCTACAGTGCGAGGCATCGGCGGTTCCGAGAGCAGATTTCGAGTGGTACAAAGAAGACCGCAGGTGAGCTCTGTGTGGACCGCGGACTGGACTTGGGCTGTTTGAAGTCAGGGCTATTCTCACACTATGACCCCACTGTGCTGCAGGCGTCGGCCAAGTGCACACTCATAAGGGAATCTCCCCTCACAGAAATCAATGAACAAACGTAGTGTACAGTGTAACAGTCAATATGTGCCAATGGGAAGAAGGAATGGATGGACAAATATAGTTTGCTCTATGATTTTCAGTCAATATTGGACATGTTCCAGTAAGAACTAGTGAAGAGTTATTTATCATTGGAGACAAAATTTCACCAGTATATTCATCAGTTTTATAGAGGTTTATTTTTCATATAGAGCCTAGGATGGAATCATAGACTGTGTAAATATAAATGGACATAGCTAACCCACTAGTCGCCGTGTTCCAAATAAGAAGTGAGCATGGGGGCGCCACATCCATCCACGCCGGCTCCAGTTCTCTTTGTATTCGGACGACCGTAAATGCTACTGTTAGACTCCTCATTTGGCCTTAAAATGTTCATATTAACCCATTCTACATGATCCTGGTGTTTTTATTTCTCTATTTTGTCTATAAATAAATTCATATTCCGCTCAATTTCATTTCTCTCCAGTGACTAGGTCAGGAATTGGAATACACTAGACTGTTCTCAGGACTGCACACCGGCCAATCAGAGAAGAGCTGTGAAGCCATGACTGGATCCCTTTTTTTGGTACAGCACAACAGTAAACAAAGTGGTCGAGATGGATGTAGACGAAGCCATACATTTTGTGTTGGCAACAATTCCTGAGATTGAGGATTTAAAGCCGGAACAAAGAGAATGTTTTTTGAATTTTATGAAGGGGAAAGACGTGCCCTTCTTCCTACAAGATTTGGTGCATTATATATACATCACGACCAAATAGCAGAGAATGGTTAAACTAAAAAAAAAAGTACCCGCCTAACATCAAGTGAACGAATCCTAATGCTGCGGTCTTCCACAAAGTGAAACTGGTTGATGAATCAAGCAAATTCCTAACAGAGAACTGAGTTCAAATTTGTCCTAATAACTGGAGCCGAAGCCTCATGAGCTTCATTTGACTGGAGCCGAACACAATGTATGATGTCACCACCTTTATTCAACCTTTTTATACAGACCATGAAACCATGAAAAAAAAACATTACCATGGAAATCTGCTATGTTTTTGGCAGTAGTACAAATTATCCATAAAGACACATTTGAAAAATTATGTTAAAAAAGTAAACAAATGAGCCGTGGAACAAGTCACTTGGTAAATATGTCTATCACTGTATACTAGAGATTATCAGACTATGTCAGTTTGTACTTTACTGCACATGTCTCCTGCAGAAAGAGCCGCTGTTCTGTCTCGTATCATGTTAGTGTCTTGTAGGATTTCAGCAGATTTTAGACTGTCCCAGGGGATGGGGCTAGTTGTATCAATCAGATATGAGTGGATGTCTGGATACTGAAGTTTGAGCCATTTTTTCTCATCATTTGCATACTCACCTGCATTTAACACATATGGGCATTTAGATGAATCTCACACGCTAATGTTAATTTAGCATCATAACATTACAATTTGATGTTAACAGACAGTGGCGCTTTCTGCACTCAGGCTTCACGCGCATCCGCTGTGCTGATAAACAAAATAATCCGTCTATCGCAGGAGTGAGCAATTATTTTTTTCCATGGGGCCACATGAGAAACAGAAAATATTGTGGAGGGCCAAAATGCTTAACTCAATTCTGCATAATATTAATTGTGTTTCTCTATAAAATGCATAAATAGCTTTGTTTTGACAAGCTGGTAAGACTGGTAAGAGTTTATGTTATGACTAAGCAATGAGCAAAAGTGAGGTTATGTTATAAAAATGTAATGTAAAAAAAAAAAAAAAAAACACTTCTAAAATAAAAGCAATGCAGCTTTAGTCCATGCATGAGGTAAAATTAGAAAATGTTTATTTTGTAATTCCAAATGAGCTTAAACAGGCTGGGTAGAGTCAACCAAAGGGCCTGGGAGCTGTACAATGCCCAGGTCTGGTTTATAGTGTAATACTTTTAAATTGGTTTAACATTACATGGGCTAATGCACTATAAAATAAGTACTGTACCAAATGCAGATACAAAGTCATGGAGAAGAATAACATGTATGGCGTCTGCACACTACCTGTTAACATAATGCTAGTGCCCACCTGCTGTTTACCTTCCTAGAGTGAAACCGTGGCAGCAATATGAGTTAACTCAGTTGTAACTCAGCTGCTGCTTTTCACTCAGATTTGTCGTAGCTGAATGATCTGTTTAAAAAAAAAAAAAAAAAAAAAGTCACTATATTAATTTTCACAGAGATTTTGAGGTAATGAGATAAGACTTCATGCCTGTTTGTTCTCATCTGGTTCTTAATTACAGTTTAATCTCATTACCAAAATTAAAAATCAATCAATCATCCCGATATCTGAAAAAAAAATGACACTCACAAGTACAGTTATTTTAGCGTAATTGGTTTCGTGTGAACGGTCTGTGGCTTGGAGATTTACAGTAGGAAATGTAGGACTGGTTATGGGGGTCCCTATTGCTGCTTAAGCTTCTCTGCACAGCCTCTGGAGCTGTGCTAAATGATCCCTGACGGAGACAGCCACAGCAGACACACAGACGACGCAGAGAGAGGGGGGAGAGGGGAGATGCGGCCCTTATAACACCACAGACACAGAAACAGGGCTCAGTGACGTTCATGACCCAGCCCTTTCTTTTCAGTGGTTCCTTCACATGAACAGTTTGAACAGAATCTCAATTTTTAAAAACAACCGAGTCTTTGCACTTCCTTTCCCATTAGCTGCCGTGTTCATGGAGACGCTTCCAGCTCTTTCGGCTACGTTTATATGATGACAGTCTGAACAGAAGACGCAAAAGTGGCGTTGTGTCTTCATTTTTTATTCCACGTTTAGACAAGTGTTTTTGGGAGGAAATCTGCGTGCATACGGTGATGCAAAAGTGTGTGGAATTCGATTGGGTGTGCATGCCAGGTGACTCAGTGGTGATGTATGTGACGTAAACGTGTACGCAACGTGAGCAGATCTGACCAGAGTTTTGCGTCTTGGGCAGTGTAGACGGAAACACTACGGCGGAACGTATTCAACTTTTCCACTCTGGAGGGTGGTTTCAGATTTTTGCATTTTTAAGCCCCAAGAACGCCGTCACCATCTAAACGAAAGGCACTTCCAATAAAGTATTTTGTCGTTTTTACCTGCAAGCATTCTCGTGTAAACAGGCCCTCTATCTCCAATTGACTTTACATTGAAAAGTTGTCACCACTCTCTGTAACTGCTGCTGTGAGGCTCACCATTTTGGTATTGTTAACCCGTTCTTCATGATTCTGGTGCTTTAATTGCACTTTTCGCTATAGGTGACATCACACTCTTTTAGTCCACTTCTTTAAACAGTCTGTTCATCAGACAGAGGCAGAGTAGACAACACATGTGAGAGCTTTTTGCACAACTGATTTTGGTATAATATGTTTTATTTTTTGCAGCAGTTTTTATATCATTATTTTATTGCATTATTGTAGTGCATCATTTTATTTAGATTTTGTACAATGTCAACGAGTAGCCACAGCTCCCCTTTCAGTTTGAACTGTTCACAATTCAATCAAACCTTGGCCTTGGTCATTTCTCTCTGTGATTAGTCTGTAGATAAAATGAGTTATTGGCTTCTCTCATATAAATACATATTCAAAGAGCCAGTGTTTAGAACAGCTCTTTCAAATGAACAGATCAAAAAGATAGAGATCCTGTGAAAGAGCTGAATGTCCCATCAATGGCGTGGAAGGCCCAAAGCGCGGAGATGCAGCCTGATAACACGATTAAACAGCTATTTAAGCCACGTAGCAGGCTAATATATGCTAGCAGTTGTAATAAACGTAATTTGACGGAGTCTGAGAATGACTTACAAAATGTGCAGGAGACTCTTGAATGTTTTAGCCTGATTCGTCAGCCGGTTTCACTTTGTAGAAACCGTCTGACCTCGCAGTGTTAGAATTTGTTCAACGCTCAACGGTAGGCGGGTACTTTTTTATCATTTAACCAATCGCTGCTATTTGGTAGTCACCTATGTAATGTGCCGCTAACGGGGCTAACTGATATATTAAGCTTTTCCAAAAACCCGTAGGAAGAAGAACAATAACGTCTTTCCCCTTAATGAAATTCGCCAAACATTCTCTTTGTTCTGGGTTTAAATCCTTGATCTCAGGAATCGTTGACAACACAGAATGTATGGTTCTTCGCTGATTGGCTGGTGTCCGAACTTGCACTTCCGGGGTTTTTGCGAACTGAATGGTGTATTCTGATTCCTGACCTAGTCGCTGGAGAAAAATGAAATTTAGCGGAGGCACTAGGTGGCGCCAGCCTGGCTATGAATGTTTACCTTTGACGTAACAAATGTAGGAATATTAAAACAGAGTGATTTCTGAGCAATGTCATAATTTCATATAAATGGACTTGGACCTTTGTAACTCTATGGGAGATTTTTACTGTTATTGGAAGAAATGGAGCTAGTGTAAATTCCTCTTTCTCCAGAGTTTACCTGCTTCTCAGCTATCATCACCTCACTCCAAATATATACAGTACATTTGACACTACTCTCGGTATTTTTGCTGCAGTATTATCACCATTTATATTTTTACTCTTTGTTATGATAATATATTGTGATGTGTGAGCTACTGTGTCCAAATAAATTCCCTTGTGGATCAGCAAAGTGCGTCTAAGTCTAAATCTAAATCTTCTGTCATTCACTAAATTCAATCATTTGTTAAATAAGACTTCTAATACTTTCTCTTTGTGTCTATCTGAACCTCTCCACGTTGAAATATCCAAACTTATGATCCACAAACGCTGAGCCCTATCATTATGTGTTAGGGATTGGCAGTGACAGAGGCAGTGCCCGGAGCGTGGAGAGACTGCCTCATAACAACAGTGACGAGAAACCACAAATGAAATAAGGCTCAAGCAACAGGCGGAAAACTAAAGCACTGATGGAGGGAGGATACAGGGAAGCTCAAGGCTCAGAGGCATGAGATGAAAAGTGACAACTGTTTTTGCAAATACTACCAAGACATTTGAAGTCATTAAATACAAGGGCCTGACTGATAAAGGGCCAATATAAAGTTGTTTCCTCATCGCAAACATAGCTGCAGTTGTGTTTTGTTTCATTCACACATGTTTAATACACAAATCCTTCATATTTAGGCTGAGTTCTTCTCTGTTCCACCTTGTGATGTTAATACAGGAACCTGCTCCACTTTGTTTTTAAACTCCATACACCTTGTAGAATCATTTGGATAATTTCAACACTGGAATTGCATGTCTCTACCAAATTAAAGGTAAAAAGGTAGCTGTTAACTTCATAACTACCTACTACTTCATGATGTCACAAAGTAAAGTGGAATAGAGCATTTTGAGCTTTAGAGATGTACACAGCCTAATCATGCTGGATTACTCAAACACATGTGAATGAAAGAAAACTCCAGGTATGTTTTTGAGGAGGTAACAACATTATAAAATGTCTAAAAAGTGAAAAGAGTGAATTTTGTGTAATATAGGACCTTTAAAGGAGAGGTATACAGCCAATCCTACTGTATATCAATAAAAGCATGGAGTTTGGAGAAGGGTTCTTACTTGTTTATGTCCATGGAATTAAGATTGACAGCCATCTTTAAAAATAAAACTGAATAAAAATCTATGACGATTAACTCAAGGTGAAAGAAAAAGAGGGTTTTTGTCCATATTTCCCATATTTTATACATTTAGGTAGGTTAATGACTGAATATGATACAAATTATTGCTTTATTTATCTATCAAGTTAAAGCTAAAAAGTAGCCACCTTAACCTCTCATCTCCCTCAAATTCACCAAATCTATCATAGTCTCCAAATGGTGCACTGTGTAATTTTTTGGTTGGATGGGGAGGGGTACATCACCTTCTTGTTTCTATGGATATGTCATTGCTCTGCCTGGAAACCTTACATTTATTAATTACAAGTGCTTTTATAGCTCAAAAATCCCTATTAGAACAAGCATTCTGACTGTGAGTGGGATTGCCTCTCCACAGATCTGACCTGTAACTTGGTCTGGTTTGGCCTCCATGAAGATAGAAAGCTTTAATACCGCACTGTGAAACATTCCTGCCAAAGCAATAACATCTCAATGGAAAAAAGCATTTGACAGACCCAGAAAAGTTACACAATGCTCTCACTGCAAAGCTTTATTTTACTTTTATTTTACACTTTCGTATCCTGACATGTACCACCAGAGCAGCTTGTCTAACTTTTTCTCTCCCACAGACTTTTCAATGGACTGAACGGAGTACGGATTGAGAATCAAGGCAGACAGTCCCTCCTGGTTTTCTTTAACGTGTCCGAGGAAGACTACGGCAACTACACCTGCGTGGCTACCAACAACATGGGCATCACCAACGCCAGTATAATCCTCTATGGTGAGACAAACGTTTTCTGTCTGTTAAAAGTGCATGGTTCTAGCAATACTTTATAATAACTACAGACTAAACTAACTAAATTATAACCTCTTAATTATGTAGTTACTAAGCCAGAATAATTTGCTATTTGTTGCATCATTCTTTTTCAAGCTTTTTAAGGTGTAATACCTTTTGAAACCTTATCACTGGTATTTCATGTTTTATAGCTTAAAGAGGGGGTAGTAGCTTTCTGTGTTATATTATTCCCTCATCAAAAACATGCCTGAAGAGGTTTTAGATGTCATCCATGTATGTTTGAGTAATTTTGCTTTCACTCCTGGGCCCTATTTGAACCAAGAAGCAAGACTCTGTGTAAAGCTCAGCCCATGAGCCAATATCATCAATTCCTACACAACAATTCTTCATAAATATTCAAAAGCATCATATAAAACTGTACACAGCAGCTTGACAAACCTGATGCGATGTGCAGGAGCTTCGTTAGGGGGATGCACGTTGATTGTGTTGTGTATTTATTTATGTATTTATTTATTTTGCACATACAACATAACAATAAAAAACACACTAAAGCAGACATGTCCAACTCAGGCCCGGGGGCTAAATTTTCCAGTGATATAATTATATTTGGCCGACAAGATCATATCAAAACTGTATTAGAACTGGCCCACTGTCTACAGATAGGCTATAGAGACATTATTTATTTAAAACTTTGTTATTATTTTATATTCTGCTTGTTCTGCTTAAGCAAAACTATTATTAAACATTTATTTTAATAAGAAAAGGTTTAATATTACATATCTTGAAGTGAAATTTTTCAATAAATATTTAGTTTGGCCCACGGCTGAGTTCCAGTTTTTAATTTTGGCCCTCTGTGAATTTGGTTTGACACGCCTGCACTAGATAAAAAAAATAGATGCTGGAAGAGGCAAAAAACCTAAAAGGGCTTATATTAAAGCCCCTACCTTATGAATACATGTACAAATTGAACATTAAAAAAAACAAAACAAACAAAACCATTTAAACATCATGGATTGAATTAATTTGATTCAGGCATGGATTGAAATACAATGACACATCTACAATTGAATGATTATCAAATATTATCCTGAAATATCAAACATTTCCTCACACTCTTTTTAAACAACACCTCTGACTGTGACAGCACTCTGAAGGGGAACTGACTTTGCACGGAGGAGCAACTATACATTCTTTTCGGCAAATACAGCATTTTCAAAACAATAAAAGATACCATGGTGATCTAAATATGTTATGTGTTAGCAGATAATGCCCCATACAACTAAATTACCCCCTCTTTAAACAGTATAATATGTGAAATTCTCAATGTTTAGGTGCAATTTAAACCCACTGTGAAGTTAAAATAGAAGAATAAATATATTTTGAGCTCATATGCAACTCAAGTATACTTAGGCATTTTATTTTAACAAGTTCAAAGCTCCAAAAAGTTTACCACATTATATAGGCAATTATTATATTCCAGCAGAAAACAACCTGACCGAGAGACCTCATGCGTCTGCTGCTTTATACCTTTGCAGTTGAGCTCCCAGTTTCCATGGTAATTGCACTTTTGAGTGTAAAAAGCCTTGCCTATTGTGCTGTGTGCTAATGTTATTGTAACAGATACAGTTCAAAGACACGGAGCTGACCTGAACTTTTGCCCGGGTCCTGGTTGACCAAAGAAGCCTCTGCTACACCCACCTTCCTGTTAATCCTTATTAAAGAGACATGACAGAGGACAGCTGGAGGAGATCATGATAATGTCCGTATTACAGAGTCCTCCTCCGCACAAACAGAAGTTGTACCTCCACACACACTCTTCCAGACTCGGCATTGAAGTGTGAAGTCCCTGCTACAAGATGCAACTGTATAGAACATGTCTATGAATATCAATATGTTTGCAGTCTTATCGACGCCTATATGAAGCCATAATTTGGTGTGCAGTGATACTACTTGCAAGATAGATAGATAGATAGATAGATAGACGGATAGATGGAACTAGGTCTAAGTTCTCAGCCCATCTTCTGCTGAAACCAATACTTCTCCAATACACTTTTGCGTCCGTTAAAGTTATTTCGTTGATCATTCTAAATAAAATGTAACTATGAAATTACTGTGTCCAATTGGGAGTCTGAAAAAAAAAAAAAACATAAAGTAACAGATTGATTATTCAGAAGACAAATGTGTGAAAATCAATGGCACAAGTTTTTGCTCAGGCCTTGTTTCAATAAGTCAAAATTGAAAATCTGAGTAACAATAACCGAAATATTGTGATAGCATATTGTCAAAGTTCTCTCAATAATATCATGGACCATCACAATATATCGAATTACAAGTCTCTTTGCTTAAATTAAGAGTTATGGTGCAGCAATAACTAAAACAAAGACAGAGGGAACTACATAGACCATGATCCTTTGCTCCATTTGAGTGCAGACTACATGAAGAAATAACAGGTCTAAACACTTTTAAGTCTTAGTTCTTTGGATTAAGTCTTCTCAAGGCATTTTAAGAGGAAAAAGTAGCATATTAAGTTTCGTTAGCTCCTCAAAATATTGCAATAAATATTGTACCGTGAGATGTATATCATGAAACTATCATACCGAGAAATTAGGATATTGTCACATCCCTAATCATGAGCTTCCCCACCATATCGTGAGTGTTCCCATGATATCGCAATAAATATCGTAAGATGAGGTTCATACCGTGACGATATTGTATCATGAGACTTGGACATCGTTACCCCTAATCTCAAGCGTATCATGTCATATTTATCATTTAATCATGAGAGACCAGTCGTTATGAAAACCAAAAAGTACTTTATTAGAGGTCAGTGCATTAAGCTCAACTTTTCTTTATCCTAGTATAGGGCTGTCAAAAGTATCGAAAATCAGCATTTGTATTGTATTGATACTAAAAAAAGTCACATTAACTAGACAAAAATGAATAACTTTAAAATTATCTTGTATTACAACATAGTACAAGACCACATCGACTAAAATGTGGCTCATGGAGTATTTTTCAGATACATAACTTGCATAATCATTCTTTTGAACATTTTTGAAAGTGAAAAATAGAGTTACTCCTCTTAAGTACATCTGTAAGACCATAAGTTTACCCCTTGATCAAAAATACAGTTATTTTTTGCATATGTTTCCCTCTCAGATCATATTTAGTTTCCTTGATTTCAGACAAATACAGTATTTTTGCTGGTACAGGTTTATACCTAAATAATGCAGTATTAGGACTAACTAGATCAATTCATTTAAGAAGATTTAAGAGATTTTAGAAATATTTGTTTTGTTGATACACAGATATAAGGCCACATGGTAAGAGAAGAAAGAAGAAAGAATTATGATGAAATACTTTGAAGGAATGAACGAAAGAGACTGTTGGATTGTGTGAAATGAACATTTTGTTTTTCTTGTTTCCAAGGAGACTGTGCAACAGGTTAACTTAGGAGCTAGATGCATTATAGGACATTTGAGATGTGTCAGGCTTTTTGGACCATATGTGACAGCAAATGTGGCAGAAGACCTTCCAATAGAAATACTTCAAGGGAAAGAAACATTTTGCCATCAATCACCACCACACCAGAGCAGAGTAAGAACGAAGCCTTTCCTGCTGTGTTCACCTGGCTCCCCCTTGGACACTGCTGTGTTGTGGGATCAATAAAGTCTCTCTCTAATGTTGAAACTAACATTCGGTTTTCTAAATAATGTGATTTAAAAAAAAAATATCATGGTAGTAGCGAAATGGAGTTTGAAATGTTAGTACAGTACACTGCTCTTGTGTGCAGGTCCCGGGGCGATGCACGATGTGAATGGGGCGGCGGTGATCCCTGGCTGCTCCCTATGGCTCCTTCTCTCTTTAAGCTCCTTCTACCTGCTCCAGTTCTGATGAGCACAGTCCGGCCGCCCTCCGCATCCAAACACCTACAGACTATTAGTTCTACAGAAGCCTGGATCACCGTAACCACCTCTCTCTATCTCTCTCTCTCTCTCTATCTCTCTATCTCTCCTGGCTTTGCATCAGGGCGAGCAACAACCCAACCAGGGGCGCGTCCAAAACCTGCACTAATTTGACGACGGTAGGACTCGAGTTTGTGTCCCCCCCGACCCCCCCGCGATACTTTTATATGTGGAAAGGAAAAAAAAGAATACATGTAACTGTTGATAGTTGACTGTTTATTGCCCAATATTGAAGTGTACATTCAGATTATACTTGTGTCGCGTCCTGTTCAATATCTGTACAATACCATTACGCTTTTTTAAGTAAACTACGAAAAAATAGGAAAAAATGCAATGTGGTTGTTGAATTTTACTGTATTTTTACAGTTGTATGCAAAAGGAGTACCAGATCCTTCATTGGAAATACAACATTGTTGAGTTCTCAGGCACAGTCCTACAGCATAGTGCATCCAGACCGTTTCATTGTAGTGTGTAGAAAATGTAGAAATGTACAGGCAACTCCTGCACTCTTGTTTTTTATGCATATGGTTATTATTAAATGGTATATCAGAAACGCCAAGAAAAAGTGTCATAGCAGCTCTACGGTACTCTTTTTTTTTTTTTTTTTTAAGTACCTGATTTTTTTTTTTTTTTTTCAGGTATTTGAGCAAAATGTCTCTTGCCCATAGTCTGTATAAAGGAGTGAACTAAAGGATGTGACGTCACCCATAGCGTTCGGTTCCAGTCAAATGAAGCTCACGAGGCTAGGAGTTAGGGATGAATTTGGAGCTAGATCCATATTAGGAACAAAATAGCAAAATAAAAACACCAGGATCATATAGAGCGGGTTAATACAAACATTTGAAGACCAAAAATGACGAGGCTCACTGCAGCAGTTACAGAGAGAGGGCTGACAATTTTCCAATGTAAAGTTAATTGGAAACAGAGTCGATGGAGCCGGATGCGCACCCATGCTCACTTCCTATTTGGAAAATGGCAGCTAACAGTTTAGCTATGTTCATTTATATATACAGTCTATGGAGTTTCCCCAGTCCAGATACTATATACTAATATGTAAGCAACTCTTGAGGTCAAAATAAGTCAGCTGAGTTCTGCCTGCATCTGATTATTAATAATATTGTCCGGGATCCAGGAAGTAAACAATTAGCATGCTAGTTGTTCTTAGCATTACCGTGACTCTTATGAACTCCTCACGGTGAATAATTAGGATGCTCAGAATGCATAAAGTAATTGAGGTATTACTTTGGACCACTGCAAATTTAAATTAACTAGAAAATGAACTAGTTTTTTTTTTTTTTTTTTTCACATTTTTAAGACGGTAAAAATCAGCGTTTAACTCTTTCTACTTTAATTAAGATTGCAACATGGGTGAGAGCCTTCTTAACTATTGCCTCATCTAATTGGTTTGTTAAGTGACAGGTTAGAGGGTGGGCCTATTAAAAACTAATAAGGAATTGATTGGACCCATTTACTCAATCAGAAAATCTGCAATGTGACTTATCAACCAAAAGGAGGAGCAAGCGAGCGTGTACCTCCAGTGATACGATCTATATAATAATCCTATTTAATATACTCTATACAGTCAATCGTGTATAATGTGGTTCATCATTATAAGATACTTGTAATGAGATATGTACTGTATATACATAATTACACAAATTCTATATTACATTTGAACTCATTATATTTATTTATTAACATATTTTGTATTTATTTTCCCTATACATTCATATAAAGGACACTGAAGCGTAAACATTTGTACGTGTTTAATATTGTTATTATAAGATGGTTGGTCTTTAGGTGCTATTACATTATATGGAAATATATTTGACTATTTACTATGATCAACTATGATAGGCCAGACCAACCGAACTGTATCACCATCTTTTTAAATAAAATATGCAAAAATATTAGTGCTGTAGCCCTTTAAAATCTGTCAAGCAAGTTCCACTCTTCATTTATACAAATTTTAAATAATTTTGACCTGCCATGTTGGAATTCTTATTTACCTGCTTTTGTCATTCCTCAATTTCAATTATTTGCCAAATTTGTAAGTTAGTCCATTATTGACTATATTCATTAGGCTATATTACTCACCAGAACTTATTAAAAACATTATCTGTCAGTTGTAGTCGTAGTTGAGTCTGTGAAGAAGGTTATAATGCTGGGCTTGCATCTCCACAAACCTGACTTAGTTGGCCTGGAGGAGGGCGTCTTCCTGCTTTTTTCCGTGGACGTTATATTCCTTGGGCTATAATCTTCCACAGTATGATATAAAACGTTTCTATCTCCATGGACAACAGACTTTAACTTTCTTTTTCCATGGAATCATGCAGTTCATACCACCTCCACCTCCAGAAAGTTAGATCTTGTACATTTACATAAAGAATAAAAGAAGCTTGATAGCATGTTATCTGTGCTCTGTTAGTGAGGCGATGTACGATGGAGCTGCTATGGCACTTTGGGCGTGTTAGAATGTTGATCTTTGACCCTGTTTGCAGTAAAATGATCTGTATACAACTACAGACTGTACAAGTATATTTGTGAGAGACTTAACCTGAAGATACAGCACAAGGATCCAGCCCACTCCTGTATAAACCAGATGCCTCGCCGCAGGGAGCAGCCGCATACTTGGAAATGCTTTTGTTGTGAAGTTGTGTGCATTTTACTGATGGTGACCAATGACCAAGAGACAAACGAAACATACACATTTTATTAAAAAAGAAAACCAAATCTGCACATGTGAAATGCTTGTCAAATTTAAATGAAGTTCACATTTTGGCTGTGTCCAGGCTCATGGTTTTATTTGAAAGCCGTTTTTCCTGTAGCATACGTAATTAAAGAAGGTGCACTGTGTAACTTTTTTAAGGATCAGCGTTCTGCTTGTCTTCATGGAGATATTATTGCATTGCTCAGAATGATCCACATAACAACATTAAATTTATCTATCTTTCATTTATTATATTGCAGGAATGTTTACTGTAACAAAAAAAAAAAAAAAAAAAAAAAAAAAAGAAGAATTGAAAAACACATATTCTTACTGTGAGCTGTTTGTCTCCATGGAAATAGATAAGTTTAATGTCATTCAGTGAAACATTCCAGGTCAATCAATAATATCCAAGCAGATGGTAGACCCATAAAAGCTACTTGTACCTTTAAACAGTACATCAGGGGTCATCAAACTAAGGCCCTGGCCCTCCATGCCCCTTTGACCGGCCCCCAGCCCCTCTGTCCCCACCACTGGAACTGGCCCTATGAAGCAATCCTCAAAAGTTATCATGGCCTGTTTTTTTTATTACTTTTTGGCAAATAATAACAATCTGCATCTTGTATTCTGTTGATTGTATCAATTAAAAAACTGATATTTATATGAAATATTTTGAAAATTTGCCGCCAAATTTTCGTCACCTAAGAAGTTCGAGATCAAACAGTGACAGACGTGCACAGAGTACTGCAAGTTAAGGACAGCAAAATGGCTCATGTTAAAGTACGAAAAGTGGACAGAGAGTGTCGAGTTTTCAAAGAACAGTAGACCAATTATTTTTTTGTTCAGCGTAAGGACAGTGCAGTTTGTCTGATATGTAAAGAAAATGTGGCAGTTTTCAAAAAGTATAATCTGCGTTGTCAGGGTCATACTATTCTGATATACGGCCGACCTGACCCCAGCCCTCCTTCACAGTCAGGAGTGATAATGTGGCCCCCAGAGAAAGTTTGGTGACCCCTGCAGTAGACTGTATTAGTAGTTCTGGGGAATATGGCGAAACATAAAGTCAGTATTGTTTTAGAGCTGTACATAAACTTATATGTTATCTTATCTATATGCTTCTTTTGGGAGTCCACACTTCTCTGTGATTGGTTGATTAAAAAAAAGTGTTTATTACCGCTTACTAGTTTCTTTTCCATCAGCATGTTTTTTAATGTTGCATAAGTGTTTACTTGCTTGCTACAGGTGGGTTTTGTTTTGTGCACATAGCAGTTTTAGAGCTAAATTTGTGAGGTGAAAAAGCATTTAATGGCACTTTTATTCTAACCATTTTCAAATAATACCATAGCAGCACGGACATAGCCTGACCATTTTATTATAACACACATGCCTGAATTGATGTCAATAAACTTGAATCCATTCGCTTCAACTCCAAATTCTAATCTAGGAACATTTTTACATACACCACAAACTGATGTACAATAATCCACTTTCATTCTGGTTTGGGCATATCTGTGTATTTTATTATGATCCTTGTTGCATTATTCCGGGCATTTGGGTACAGTGCCCTGTTCCACCTGTCATGTTTGCGGTTGTTTTGAAGGCGTTTGGTCACATGACTGCAGCATTGATTCTGTTTTGATCTGTTAAGGCCTTTCTGAGGTCTTCACTATTGTGGTATAAAGTCATCGTATCATTTGATTGAGAGACTGCAATTTGTCCATAAACTGGTTAAATGTGAACAAATGTTTGTGTACAGTTTTCTTCCAATACACACACACGCATGTTGGGTTTCAATGCATTGAATCAATCCTAACCTTAACCTAATGTTGACTTAGCCTAAATCTAAAAAGGACAGTCTAGAATTTTGGGCATAGAACCTCATTTCCTAGTGAGCCAGAGTGTTGGAGACGTATGGAGACACTTTTTTAAAATATTCCATCCAGTCCTTGTATTTGCAGAGGTTGCTGGTGCTAGGCTAGTGCATGTCAATGGCCATAGTTAGCCTGCCACTAAAAACAGTCTTACCCACTCCACAAAGCACCTGAAGCAAATCTGTTATTACGCCAGACTGTCAATGCGAATGTCTGTGTCGTAGAATCATTTTAGAAGTAAAACCAACCTTGCATTTGAAGGACTTATGTCTGAGCAGCAGCAGTGAGTTGTACTTGTATAGAAAGCTTGGCAGCAGTGGACTGATATCACCTAGCACCTATCTTACTGGC